CTGGGGGCTTCATCAGAAACAAGTGAAGGAGAAAGGGATGAGCACTAGACTGACATACTGTAAGTGATACAGTAAGATTCCTTCCCAGAGCAGCGACGACCCAATGTGGCTTCATCAGCATTGCCATGGCAGACAAGCACAGGGCCTGACCGGCTGAGACAGTCACACACATCCTTGGCTAAAGAAGGCAGCACAAAACACATCACTGGGGGCACACGGGACTCAAATTTATATACATGAGTGAGACACATGTGCTTCCTCGAGTGGCTGATGCAGTGCATGTCTATACACATTCCTACTGGTACCAAGCTATGGCATATTAAAGCAGTAAGTGAGAACATATGCAACAATGAAATGCACCACTGCTGCTGGAGGAAGATAAAATGGAAAGCTGTGCAGTGCTTGGCTGAGTGAGGCTGACTAATGACTCTAATGTTAGTGGCTGCTGATCAAGAAATCAAACACAGAGCAGTCCATCATGATCACGGCAGGTGAGGGAAGACAAGTCAGAGCCAGAGCTTAGAATACCAGAAACCTTCCCTCCTGTTCCAAAACCCAGAAACAGATACAGCATGCATTAAAAAACCCAGCTTGTTTCAATGCACAGTCAAATTCATTAGAAACCCTCTGAAATAGGACTCTTTGTTACACAGTTTGTTGCCAGATGAGAAGGACGTTTTGGGGCAGTGTGCTCTCAGGAACACAAACGGAAAATGACGTGATGGACACAGCGTGTCAAAATAACAATCCTCATTTAAATCTTCATGTTAGAGACATCTTACATCTCAAATGTCAAACATGTAAAATGGATTGCCTGCAGAACCCGATGCAGGGAACATCAATTGTTCTGAACTTCAGAGTATTAACGTGGGGGGAAAAAAAGAACCAACTTTAAAGTGCATCAGAAATCTTTACAAAATCTGACACTTTGTTCTTGCTATTTCTTTACCTTTGTTAATACTTCAAGGCCACATTCCCTTTGTCCCTTGGACCACAACAGCTGATCTGACATTTTATGGTGCACACTTGACGTGACTGCCTATACGGTGCCCCACTGGTGTGAGGGACACTTCTTGCTCCTTCCCAGCAAGGCTCTGAGTAGGATCACACCACTGTCAGCATTCATGAAATTAGAGGCTTTAAACAGAAAAATTCTGAGAAAAGAAGCAAGCACATCTGCTGTGTAGTTCCAGAAGAAAACAGGATTTGGATCCTGCTTTCTAAATGTCTCACCCAATTCTGCAGATAGATGGTATTTATTCATACAATGCAAACATGAGAAATGCCAAGGCTCTGATCCTCTCTGATGCCAGGGTACACATGTTTTTTAAGACTGAAAATCTTTAATCCCCTTGGAGAACTGGGAGGAGGTATTCAGCTACACCAACCACAAAACTAGTCAAAGGGTTATTTATTACAAGCAAAGCTTTGTTACTTTCACAGAACACACAGAGAGGCACAAACCAAACCCACTATTTGCTAAAGATAGTGACAAAGGAAGTTTTAAGAGGGACAGTGTCAGCAAGGACTAAGTGAACTTGCAGTTTTCATGGTGATGAACAGTCTTGCAATCTTACGAATGCACTGAACAGACAAATGATCCAAACACCATCAATGTGGACCCATTTGCATGTCTTGCTAAGTGGACTGTAAAAGAAATCATGGTTGCAGTACATGGTTTGGAAAGCTGGTTACAAAACCAAAATCTGTTCCCAACTAACAGAGCTTTTTATAAAACTTTGTTCACTAGTTCGACTTCACCTTCATTTTGAAAATATACTTTAAATATTCTACAGTTACTAAGTTCCCATCATGGGTTCTCTCAAATCTCAGTCCTAAATAGAAGCTTCCTGATTCTTTCCATCAATAACACTCACACATTCCCTCTTTCCATTACCATAATTACAGTGGCACATCACTTAAAAGCCACAAAATCACACTATAGGCAGGAATAACACAACAGCCAAATGCTTTAGCAAATCCATCTAGGTGGTACTGCTTTGGAGGCCCATCAGCAACCAGTGCAGTGTGGCTATGAAGAGGATGCTCCTCTGCTCTCCTAGAGCACTGCCTTCAAAGCACATGTGCCCAGGGAGACACAGAAGTGTTCACAGTTTGATGCTGATGTCTCTGCATTTTAGGGCATGTAATTCTTAATTTGCAGAAGAGATGCTTAGGCAATCATAATGTGTCAGTGCTCCTAATATTTGTCACCAAGGGTTGAGTGCCCTCCTCCTTGTGCTGCCTGTCTCATCTGTCTCTGAGTTTATGCGCTGTTGAATTGGAGTTTTTTTCACTCAGGTTCAGAATAAAATCGCTGCTCTCAGGAGCCACCTACTTACGTGCACCAGCTTCCAACACCGCTCAGTGCTTGAGTTTGGACCTTGTTCACTTCTGTATCAGTCCAACTCAGTGCCAGCGTGACACCAGCAAGAGTCTGAACATAAACCTGAGGAATGTCCATGGTAAATCAGACCCTGTATTGCTGAAAAACACCCTTATCCCAGTGTTACAGGGATGAGATTCCTTGTCCTCTATTAAAAAGATCTGTAGTTGGATTTCCAAAAGTGTTTTGCAGATGCAGCTTCCATGCCTTAGGGAATGCATGACCTACCACCACTGAAATCATGTCTGAGATCTTGCTGATGTTTAACCTCTTAGCTCAGTCTTATCTGTTATCATTGTCTCCAGAACAGAAGATACTCAAATACAGAAGCAATACATGTGAAAATTGATACAGTGATTTCACATATAAACTGGAAGTCATGAAGTGTGTAAAACCTTTCAGGAATGAAAGACTGAAACCCTAGTATCAGGAATGAAAGCTCTGGCTGGTTAATTTTCTTTCATCAATAAACTGTTTCTCAGGGCTGAGTGAAACAGATATAAAACACCTGCACTTTTAAAACAATGTGAGGTGAGCAGGGCATGTTATCCAGGAAAACAGATTTCCTAAGTTATTACTTTCCTGCTTATTGAGGTTTCAAGCCAAACAAAGGGTCAGCAATGATGGACTGTGCTGTCCTGTAGTAAATAAGGTTAATGTTACTGTATAGCTCTGTTTTGCAGTCACAGGGCATGTGAATGAACATAAGCACAACTTGCAACACTTGCTCAAATACTGATTGAAGTATTAGTCTGCATGAGGGATGGATCCTGTGAGGTAATCCCATCCAACTGATGACTTAGAAATGTGATCAGTTCATCTGTGTCTTTTCACTTACAAAACTTGGATCTTTTCAAGTAGATATGCTGTTTGAAGGGCTTGGATGAAGCTTTCAGGACCTGACAACTCAAGCTTTAACTGGAAGGGAAGTACATCAACTTCTCTGCCAGAGCCCACATTGGGACCATACAGTAGAGTTTTAGCTTACTTTAAGATGAAGCTGATACACATGAACATTAAGATGACTCTAAGGTGGTAATTTGTGTCCCCCTAAGATCTTAAAAATAGGGTACAGCAACCTAAAGTGCATTCCTGGGCTCCATATTTTTTAGCATTTATTCCAACAGTTGCTAATAGTGCCCTTGACCCAGAACAGTATGCCTCAGAGGAACTGTTAGACAAGGTCTGTACTGAAGATGAAAGGCCAGGAGACGTGAATTTTCAAATGAAGTGGAAAGAAAGCCCTTTTCACACCAGTTCTTGTTTTCCCACTGTAGCAATTCTAAAAACACCTTCACAATTCCTCTAACAGCATTTCCTTAGAAAGGTCCATTTATGTAATGCAAAATGCTCTCTTATAGAGAAAAATGACATGACACTGACTACATGGTCTGTGTTAACTTTAAAATTCAACCAGTAGAAAAACTCAGAACATGTTCAAAGTTCACAAAAGAAAAAAAAGTACAACTCTCGAACAAAACAAGGCTAACACAGCTCCTACTCATGCTCCTGGGAAGCTCTGTTTTAGACTGATGGCCAAGATTGCTGCCCACAGAACACAAGTGAGACCAGCATCTTCGTAATCATATACTCAATATCTTTGTGTCTCATACACACAATGTTTCACTGGCTTAATAGTCATAGATTCATAGACTCATAGAATCAACCTGGTTGGAAGAGATCTCAAAGATCTTCAAGTCCAACCCTACTGTTGTTACTAGACCATGGCACTAAGTGTCATTCTAGAGTCCACTGGAAAATAAAAGTTTAGATGAAAAACATCCTCCTATCCTACCGAGGACAACAATGTGAACTTGAAGCACACACTCACAGCTAGAGCACATGCCCTCCTGTGTATATTGTGGTGCAGCTCTGAGAGGCAACACATGCATCCACAGCTTTGTAGAGCCATCTGTTTCTTCAGTCTCATTTTGCTCTCCCTGTGCAAAGCCTATAGCCTTGCTTCACTTAAATTTCCCCTCGGCAGACAGCTGAGATGGAAACATCCCTAGCACCAAAGTGACAGCACATGGGAGATTTACCTGATGGGAGCTGACTCATCCCCTTTATCGAGCCAGTCCTGCGGTGGGATTATGTACATGCACCAGAGCGCCCAGTTGTAGCCGTGGGCTGCGTTGGCGTATTGCTGCACTTCAAAAGTGTTGTACTTGATATTGTCAATCGCTGGTAAGATGATCCGCTTTCGATCTTCTTTGATCCGGGTAAGTGCAGGTTCCACCCTGAGAGCAATAAAAACAGCAAAATGTTTTACAGCCATCCAGTAATCCCAAGTCCTGCTTTTACAGGCTGATAAAACGAGGGTCTCTAATACTGAGAGCATTAACCCAGTGAGATGGCAGCTCACAGCAGAACCGAGTGGGACCGAATACAGATCACTGTCACACACTGACAGGGCTGGAGCTTGGTAGGGGATACTTCACACAGCAACTGCATATGAATTATTACCTTTATGAAGCTTACCAGGGTTTAACACCACAAAATTTGACCAAATACTTATTCTGAGGCCTGGAGACTGTTATTGCAATTTGCAATGGACAAGTGCTGAGAGGCACCATCACCAACAGTAACTAAATGGTCTCCTACCAGCTACACCACCAGGATTCCTGGTAGCTATTAAATACTGGCTCTTGCTGACATGGCCTGAAGAACTAAACACACACCAGGGACTGTGTGAATCTGAAGGTTACTCAAAGGTTTTAATCTTGTTTCCTGAGGACTGACCCCAACGGATCTAGTTTGAATGACAAGCATGGCTGCATTATGCCTTCTAAAACCTCTTTGGTGATGAGAAGATTTCAATTGCCAGATGGTGCAAAAGCAGCGAACTGCAGGAAATGTTCCATCATTTCAAAAGGCTTTAAAACATCAATGTGCTTTTAACAGAAGCTACATCCCAAAAGGAAAGTAAAAAGCTTCAGTGCAAACACTCATTTCTGACCAAGGTAGTCTTGAAGTTGCTACGAATTTACAGAGAAAGTGATCCAAAGAGGTAGCAGACTTACATAAGGGTGGAAATCACTCCTCAAAGCAGAAACAGCCACTGGTTCACTCCTTTGTAACTGTGTTCCCCCTTGAAATAAGCTTTGAAGACTTTGCAGAGCTCTCGCATGTATCTTTAAGGGAATGGTGGTTTGCTGCGATTCGCAGAGGTACTAAGATTTCAACACTCATCTATTCTCACTTTTCTTTTGCTGTTGGTTAAAAGGCAATTGTTCCTTTGTGACTTCAAGTTTTTGCCTTATATTTTGTTTGCTATATTGAGTTTGTTACCATGAATTTTCTTGTGTAGGCCAACAGAAAGGAGCAAGCTATGAAGCAAATTCAACCCGCATTTTCAGTCTTAACTGTCTCGATCTGAACTATCAAAAATTTTCTTATGTCTTCTGCAAGAAGACAGTAATTTCTCTGTACCTGAATACAGTCAAAATATTTGTCTTTTTGTACACAGTCTCTACATGGCTTACAAGAGGTCATGTACTGCTTGCCTTCTCTTCTCTTTACCCTTCTTACATCAGTAAAAAGAGATAGAGATGCAGGGAAACCCTTGAATATTGATGATGAGCTGCTTTACTGCAAATAAACCATCACAAAACAATATAAAGAGCATAACTGACAAAAAAACAAGCTGTCACAGCATTGCATTTGGAGAGAAGACCAAGAGAGTTAAACTAGTTTCATTTTAATTCCTCCAGAAAACTGACATATGAATTTATCAGCTGGATGCCAATAACACAGAGCATGGAAGTTTTAATAAAAGAGACGATCGCAAGAATGGTGGGAAGACAGGAACAACATTGCAAGTCGCAGAAATTCCCCCTGGCCAAGAAGGTTATGAAAGAGATGTTCATCTCCTATGCAACATGTATTGTTTCATTATTCTCCTGATTTATTCTGGGAATAAATCAATGGATCCCTCATGACTGGAATGGCCTGAAGTCACTTCTAGTACTGCCTGCCACCTGCAATTTTTGGTGCAGTACTCATATTGTCAAAGCCCAAGGTCCTGCAAGGTACCAGAGACCTCCACGGAAGCATGAAAAGACATCAGTCTAAAGGAGGAGCAGGGATTTCAGCTTTATTTTTGACAATACTTTTTTTTCCCCCCTGGCATTTAAAGAACTGTACCTCAGACTCAAAGAAGCCTTGTTTTCTTTCTGTGGGAAAGACAAGAAACACCTGAGAAAGACTCAGGACAGTGCAGTACATGATTCAGGCTGTTAATTTGTATGTTCTTTAGGCCACATTCATGCACCCCCAAAAAGAGACAATGTGACCTACCAAATCAGGGCAAGGCACTCCCATTATTAATACCAGATTATATTTCTGAGGTTAACTCTTTTAAAAACCAGTGGGTGGACAGCAGAAAAGCTCTTGCAAACCCAACAAAGCAGGGGAAAATGCAGAAAAGCTGAACTTGCTTTGGTCTTTCTGTAATGTTACCTCCGCTTATCAGCCTAGAGGCAGCAGAAGAAAATACAAAACAGTGGACATGTCAGCCAGACACCCTCTCCCACCACAAATCTGATGCCTCCATGCATGGATGCAATAACCCTTGTGCATAAGGCTCTCCCACTTCCTTCTGGCTCTGAAACAAAGGCTTTCAAAATACCAAACAACAGGTATAGGTGTCACTAATGATAGCCCACTCATTGTTTGACTGGAAGAATACTCCTCTTCAAGGTCATAAGGGGAAAAAATTACCTTGGCACAGGTCACTGTCCATGTGGAGCACTTGCTGCAGAAGCCTCATTCCAGAGCTGCCTTTGAGCTCCCTTGCAAAGCAAACACCTCCCTGGGAGGTGACCCACTCCTGAAGACCTTAGGCATTGCTTCAACAGATTTGGTGCAGAGGGGAAGTCACAGAGCAGAGGGATTGCATCCTCCTGAGAGATCTGGTGCACATCACAGGACATGGTTGCACCCAGTGACACCCATAGCATGCAGAGATTTATTATGTTTGGGTCTGATTTGCAGATCTGCCCTGCAAAGCAGGAAAACTGCTTGTATACCTTCTGAAGCAGAAATCTGTAAATGGGTTTCCTTTGTAAGAATCAAATGCTGTCTTTCTTATTCACTACTGTCTGATTCTGGAAAAAGGTCTTTGGCAAACAAGGAAAGAGCTTTCAAAACTATTTTTACTTTTCCTGATTAGAGTTCTTTGGTCACCAAATCCCCAAGTGTTTATCTTGACACAAAGCAAGATTGTTTAACCATCATACTTAAAAATATCCTGGAGGTTCCATGTTCCTTCCACAGTTCCTCCCTGTGTGCTCATTTTGCAAATATTTTACTTTGTAGGGTAGACTGAGATTGTATAATGAAAAAAACCAACCTAAAAGAGATAAGGAATTCTTCTCCCTTAATGTCAGATGTCTGCAATGGACCCCCCACATCCAAGGTAATTGCCTCAAACTTTCAGTCTCAGCAGAGAGAGGCAGAGGCTGGAACTTTTATAGTCTGATACTTCTCATAATAATGTAGACACTGAAACTGGGTGAGATTAATAATGTTCCAGAGGAGCCTATTTTGAATATAAAGGGAATTTAGCCTGCTACTTTGCAAGCCAGTTTAAAATTGGACTGCTGAAGTGTATCCCAAATAATGGTTAGAAGAAGAATGTGAAGAAAATATTTAAGAGTCACTCTGGTTTTCAGCCCTTAATCATATTTGTGATTGTGCTAATCCAATTCTTGGGCCTTGGAAATGCTAATCTGGGTCATTTTCTTCACCACACAAAGGAAAATCCATTCCCAGCTCTGGTGCTGTTCTCACACCAGCCATCACCAAACTACGCCTGCCACTTTACAGCTGACTAATTTATGTGTTTTTCCAGTTGCATGGCTCACATTTATTCCTACCTGTCATGGTGCTTTGCACCTGAATGGCACAAGGAAGGATCTCTGGAGTGTACTACAACAGTTGGGTCAAAATACATGATGAGATGTCATTAATGTCTATCAAACTATTAATGTGAAATCACAGATTTTGAACTTCCATGAAATCTGAGGCATCTGAAAGCTGTCTGTGTGATGGAAGTTCTGTTTCAGTCCCCTGCACTCAGGAAATATAAATGTTTAAGATACTGCTTCTTCAACAAGTGTTGATGTCTCTACCCTCAGGTTACACATGAAGTAAAATGCCATGCCAAGGTTATGGAGTGAATTGGTATGAAAGCAACTGCTGGAACTTCATTTTCTAAACCTCCCATCTCACACATGGAAGTGATTTTCTACCTCTGTTGGTATCCATATGTGTGGAAATCATATCCTTGCGGGTATTAGAAACAGGAAAGGTTCAATATCTGGACAGATTGCACAGCTATCTAACTTCCAAAATATATTCACACCCATAAGTAAGAAAGCAAGTTCTGAGCCACAGATGGAAAGAGAAAATCCAGGGCAGAGCTGTTCTCTGTTACTTAGCAAAACCCCAAATGGAGAGCCTTTTAATTAAACATTGCATACCTGGGAGATTTCACAGCTTGTCCTGCCCTATAAGAGACAGCAGAGATAGCAATGAGCTATTCAGATGCTCAGCCTGAACTCATCTCTCTGAGACCTACAGGAACACTCAAATCCCAGGTCCTGCCAATGCCCTCTCACCACTGACACTGTGCTCTGCTTTTCCGCCTGCCAAGATCCCCAGGAAATGGCCAATGAAGAAGGACTGTAAGTTTGAACAGAACTGGGCAATAGACTGTGCTTACATTGCTTATCTTAAATAATCCATGAAATACGAAGGGTTTTCATTGCTATTCATGGCTAGCAAAGTCCAGCCTTGGAGTTGCTCTATTAGGCTCAATGGACTTGCATGGTGTTTTTGTCTCTGTGAGCTGAGCTGCACATTCATCAAATCCTTTGTCAACTTTGCTGGTCACTCTGGCTTTGTCTAATTGCTTTGGGTTTTTGAAAGGATTATGATTAAATCCTTCCTAGTAATTTCTAATTTTTTTGCTTCCTAATTTTAAGCTGCTACATTATTATGTAGATTTACCCATCTCTTTATAGACACCAGTGTTCTTTCCCTGCTTTTTTTCCCCTTGCCTTGTTTTTCCCACTGTGCATCTGTACAAGTTAGGTACTTCTGGCAGCTTCCAGGGCTGAAAGGACAGAGGGGATGAGGTTGCTGAAGTCTGAGTGTGTTCAACACACTGTGCTGAATAGCTCCAGTATGTTGTTTGAGGATTTCCTTTCCACATGGCCACCACTGACAGCCAGGC